TCTATCTATCTATCTATCTATCTATCTATCTATCTATCTATCTATCTTCTTTTTTTTATCTCATTGACTACCAGAAGGGGGCAGGATCAAGCTAGAATACTGAACAACATTAAAAACATTATGGGGTGACCATGGAATCAGGACTGTGTCCGTTTAACTTTTGATATTAATTTGCGTTTTATTTTGCATCTACATCTTCTTCCTGTAGGATGAAAAAAAAAGTACTATACTGATAACATGTAAACAAAATTGAGAGCTTTTACACATTTCAAGCAATACATTTCTGGAATAATGTTCTATCTGTCCTACGTGGGATGACTGATACTTTCAGCTAAGTGGTCACTCAATGCTCCCTTCTTTATCTATTGTCAAAAGCCAAAGGAAGTGACTCAAACAAGATTGTACACAGGATGTAGATCATTCACTGAAGGTCACATTCTAAGTCCCCTCTAGATAAACGATGAAAAATGAGCGAAGGGCTGGACTCACTCAAAGACTATCCTCTCAAAAACAACCCACTAGATAATTTGATCATACAGGCAATATTCAATAGTTTTGTTCAAAGAATGCTGAATCTGTGGAACTGAGGGTGCCATAATGGTGAGGGTGGTTCACAAAACATGTATTTGTGGGTCCTAAATCATCCTGGTAATCATGATGGCATAGAAGGTAGTTCTTCTCCTTTTATTGATTCTTAAAAAATGGGATGATCACATTTTTCAGCACATTATTTCCCTCATAAAAATATGTCCCTTTTTCTTGGGTTACGAGTGGACCATTGTGTCTTAGCCCGGAAAGTGGAACCTCTGTCATGTTCTCCATTGTTTAGAAATTATTTTGGACTATTAATCTTTTATTTAATACCTAAAAATGCTGTTTCCAAAACTGGTAAATACTGAAGTTAGTCATATTCCCACCCTCTGCTTTTGGGTTTGTAGTTTAGAGGATGTTATTTGTGTTGTTTTAGGTTGCTTCAATTGATAGACCTGCTGGTCAAAATTATGGAAATTCATATGGAAGTACAGAGAATGAGGTTGTAGACAAAAAAAACGACAGGTTAATTAAATTTCTAGGTGCAGTTAATACATTTTCTCTAAAAACTAACTTGATTGATGACATGTTAGAATATAACAGACTGTAGCTCAGTGTTTGGGCACACTCAGATACTTCCACGGGGAATTCTGGAGTCATTAGGTGAGCTTAATTGTGTCTTGTTGGCAACATTCCAGCTGGCTCTTTATAGCACGTTAAAATACTTGTTAAATGTTTACCTCCCTACCCCGGCTCAGGTAGTCTAAAGTTACCACACTGCAACTCAAACTACATTCTCCTCATAGGAGTACTTTTAAGCTTCACTGCCACCAGAGCCCTGATTTAAGATGGCTGAGTTTTTGTGAATTAGTACAACACTAGGTGGTCATTTTTGCTGGCTTGGGGATAAATAAATGAACCAATGTCACTTTCTCATTTAGTCTGCCTGAAAGACAAACAGTTTAAACAATTTCTGCCTCCCTTTTCAAGTGATACAGGGATGCTGTTGTTGGCATCCATACCTGTGTATTCGCAAGTGTCTGCAATTAGACTGCCAAGTGTTACGTCTGTGGATGCCTGCATGGCTGCCGATGGAGCAAGTGGCGTCCTGGAAGGACGTCCCTGTCCATTGCACAGCCATAGAAAACCCTGCATGCAATCATCTGGACGGAACAAAAAATGATATGTGGTAATGTAAAAAAAAAAAAAAGAAGAGGAAATCATGACAGAAAAATATAATTGGTAGCTTATGTTTTGACTTGTTGATATGTCCTTGTTACACAGTGTGAATAAAGTGGAATCCAACCCTGCCTGTCTCAGTAAGTATCAGCCTGTAATCCGGGCTAATGAACTGTGACAGAAGAGGGCTAGCTGACTTCCTGGTATCTCTCTGTTGTAACGAGCTCAGGAGTAAAACCCTGCACTCAAACTCTCTCTTCCTTTGGCCTCTTCATTCAGAGACACTATTAGTCCACTTAGACGAGATAGGGAGTCAAAGAGATGACACAGAAAATTGAAGGTAGATCCAGGTCAGACAGAGGCATTTCGATTTGTTTTGTGGAACTGATAAACAGTGGATAAACTAACTGCCCATGTAAGAAATCTTATTATAATAGATCAGAAAATAGAAAATCCACTGATTTAGTGGCAGGCAAAAAATTTAAAGTTTATTTAATGTTGTCATTTTCCATTTGGTGAAACACATCATTAATAAGTTTATCTTAATGAAAAATATGAAAATAAACAATATATGATTAAACCTGACAACATTTTTAAAAGAATAATCATAAGAGTATGAATAGGAAGACTTAAGTCTCTTCTATAGAAAGCTTCAATGTTAAACAGCTTCAACTCCTCATTTTAAAGGATATTTGCTTTTTTGCTAATGGAATAATATTTTTTCCATGTAATACTTCTCGAGTTAATAGCAATTTTTAGCTTGTCACAGCGCACTAAAAATTACCTTAGTTGCAGTTTACAGACTTCCACGGATCAAGCATAGTGTTGGTTACCTGAATTAGTGCTGCCGTCTGCTGGGCAACAGCCACACTGCAGAAAGGATGAGTTTCTCTATGTGATTCTGTCTTATCTTAGAGGTTCATTTGAAGTTTTTGGAATAGCTTTTCTGCATAGGCAACAGAGCACACTACATAGCAACCTCCCACCTAAACAAGTAAGGGCATGTTAATACTTCAAACACAAATCTATATCACTTCAGCAAAACATAGAGATCACATTTAGACATACTGTGACATGTTGATTGTTCACCGCATGTTGTTCTCCAGATTTAGAAAGATTATTAAGATAAACAACAAAGCATGAGCGACAGAAAAAAAAAAGATACAAATTTAAGAAAAATAAAACGGGTAAGGAAACTGAACAAGTCAAGCCTAATGAATGCACAGTCAGTGAGTCTAGCAACAGGAAAATGCTTTAGAATTTCACCATTTATGTCCCTATTTTGCAAATGTACAGTGTCTTATGAGAAAAGATAGTATTTTAAATCATAATAACAACTTAAGTTTGACGTCTGAAGTAATTATATATCTTTTTAACAATCACCAACAAAAAACTCGTCTGTCTGAGTTTCTTAATTGTCAGAGGATTGGACCTTTGTGTCATCTCACTGTGGCGTATTGGAGTTGGTACCAGAATTCATCTCTTTCTCACAGATGAAGGGCAAGTACATCTCACAGGGGGCGTCGATCCAGCTCTTGATCGCCACCCGCTCCAGTACACTCGTTTTCACAATGTAGCCACAGTCTTCGTTGATGTGATTGTTGGGTTCGCCATCTTCCCAGAAACTATGGAAATTGGAAGAGAAAGCAGAACAGAGAGAAAGAATGCCATTTAACTTTTTGTACATCACAGATCCTCTGTGGTGCATTTTATTAATAAAGCTCCAAAATACAGTTACCAACAAAGAATCCTTCATTTAGACTTTCAGAGGCAATGGCCTGAGGCTCTTAGCTGTTCTGCAGAATAAACTTTACCATAATTATTATGTTTTTACAGTACAGTGTCTAATCTTTTTGACTAACGGCAAATAAACAAAATTACTATTAAAAAAAAAGGCAAAAATAGTTTTGGGATTTGAGGTCACAGTAAGCCTGAAACCCATTAAAAAACGCATTATAACGCATATTAAAAAATGGCTTAATCTGAGTGGAAGCAAGTCCAGCAGGACAAGAGAAAAAATGTAGGAACAAAAGACTTGTGACCCACGACTATTTCCAAAATGAGGAACAGAGATCATAGATTTCTTAAACTGTACCTTGAAATGGCAAAAAGGAGGAAGATACAGAGAAACAGAAGTGCAGAAATATTTTGGAAATAATGGGAGAAAAAAAAGCAGAAACTCAAGCATAACAAGGAAATATGAACTAACATCACAGAAAAACAAGAGCAGGAGGAAGGAGTTCACATGACTTTGCATTTGAAATTGAAACAATTTCGACATTATCTTGCTGAACACTTAAAACAAAAGTTTGACATTGAAAGATCAGAGGTCAGGGTGTTTTTTGCAATCATACAATGAAAATAAGCTTTCAACATCACTGCATCTTAGAGGAAGAGCAGATGGAGGTGATCCTGTTCTCCCTCCAATGCGAGCCATAATCCTTTGAGCTTTATTTTTTTCTTTTAAACAGCAAGTTTAAATACATTTCAAAATGCTTCAAAGAATGGTTTAGTCTAAACATTCCCCATCAATCAGTAAACACAGTTATGATCAATATGAATTTAACTTATAGGACATTTCCTGATCAGCATCTAAAACTCTAGACGTGGAATTTTAGAAATGAGAAGTGATGATTTATAGAGCACTCAGACTGTGGAGAAATGTGTTTGATTTTTTTCCTCGACTGCAACTGTGCCAAACAGTGATTGAAAAACTGGCCTATTTCCTGTTTCCTGGTTTGGGGAAAATAATTGCACTGGCAGCAGAATCTCTCATATCGGACAGTGGTCATTGTTCCTGTTAATAATGACCAGTCTATGTAAATCTGAAGGCAAAAACTTACCACTATCTGCTTCCTTGTGCAAAAAGGTGTCGCGGGTTATGGATCTTTTTGGTTTGTTTTGTAGTTTATTGGTATTATTGTGTCCCTTCTGTGCCTCTGTTGTTTCTGGACTCCGTAAGTTCCACATTCTTCACCTGTCTTAATTGTCTCACCTGTCATCCATTCTCCAATCATTCTCCTCTAAAACCCTGTTTTCTGCCCCAGGTTCCCATCTCTCATCTTACTAGATTTTCTTCTGTTTTCACTCTGGTGGCTGTTTCATATTGTTAAGGGTTTTGAGGGCTCAACCAAGCTTTTAGATGAATAATACCCCCCCCTACTAGAGTTACTTCCTGTTGTCCTGTTGTTCTGTGACAACAGAGCTGTGTAAAACAAAGGCTAAAGTCCACTGAACAGTCACTTTGGATTTGGATGTCTGTGTGTGCCGAACGAGAGCAGATATGGTGCAAAACCTCCGTTTATGCCAAAGAAAATTATCGAAATACGTTTGGTGAGTGTAGAAATAAGCAAACTCACCCTCCAACCAGCGGAGTGCCGTCGATCCATTTCCATTGATCCTCAGTTTCTCCATCAGTTATTCCAAACCAGTAGGCATTCCAGTGCCCTCTGGGAAGAAGATCCCAGAGAAAAGTCTGGGAGGCGAGGCAGAAAGGACATGCATTAATAAAAAAAAAAAGTTATTACTGGTTATTAGACAGTAGAATGCATGTATCCAATCAGCACAATTATTTAAGAATGAAATCTATTCAATCACCAAACATTAGTTCAAATTTGATAGCTTAAAAAAATCAAATAAAACGGCTAATAGTGGCTATATGTTCTTCTGATTGTGCCTATTTAACAGGATGATCAGATTTTCATTGATCCCAAAAAGCTATGGCAGAATGTAGGACACACCATTGCAGACAACCACCACTGGTGAGTTGTGTCTCATTTTTTTATGCCTTCTGTTGTACAGAGAGTCAATTACTTCAATTCAACATTTTTTTGGTTGTGTCATGCTCATGAGGTGGTGTGAAAACGTGAAAAACCGAAAAAGCTAAATGTATGCTTTGGTCTACTTAGACTTTGATTGGGCTGGAACAAGTCAATACGGCTGCAGCATGTGAGAGACCGCTGGCTGGTAATAATAAATAATAAATAAAATAAAATAATAATAAAGCTGGCTGGTCTGTACCTGCTCCTCAGCCGTGAGGATGACGGCCAGGTAAGCTCCTTGGCGTTGACAGTACGCCTGGCTCTCTTTCCAATTCCTTGTCTGCCTGGAGATGAGGTAACAGTTGCTTTGGAAGAGATGCCAGTCCATGGGACACACGATTTGGGCCTGAGTCGTCTTTGGTGTTGGCTCGATGGCAGCAGGAGCTAATGGTGGGCATGTCACAGAACACACGGACTTATGATGGAATAATCCCACCTGCCACATGCATCTTTTGCATAAGAATACACAGAAAAAATACCTTCTTTTCTCCATACCTTTTGTGGACGCCTTGGCGGTCGGTTTGGCCAGCAGTTCTTCCTTCTCTTTCTGTAGCTGCTGATTTTCCTGCTGCAGTTTGTCAATGGAGGCTTTCAGAGCTGTGAGGTTTGAAGTTAAGCTCGCATCGCCACTGCCCTGAGTTTTATTTTTATCTGTGGAAATTTAGATATAGACATGTCAGCTCACTGCTGCAGGTTCTAGGTTCTGAGAGCCATCATCTTGTGAAAAGTAACAGTTTGCTTTTTAAATATAATTGCTTCTTGGTTTAATTCAGGCATTTGTTGTAGGTTTGTCTGATTGTTGTAAAGTTTTGTTCAAGACCAGGACTGGTCATATTTGACAGGGATGTTCTCACAGCCTGCAGCAACAGCGATGATGGAGATCAGCAGGACAGCGCAGAGCACAGACAGGCCGATGGTGGTGAGGCGGAACAGCCCGGGCCTGCTCAGCCTGGACGTCGCTGCAACATGGGGCACCAGACCATCTGAAGGGGGGAATAGGGACACGCCATCCCTCAAATACCTTTTTCCTTAAATGGTGCAAATGCTTATGGGCAAACCTTTGATATGAAATCTATCTAAATAAAATAAAAAAGAAATCAAACAAAATCACTCAACAGATTTCCTGCTTCCCCACAGTGTTGTTCTGTGCTGTTTTTAAGCTTAAACCATGAAGATTTCCCCATCCATACCAGGCAGTTTTGCTTCCTAATTCTGACCAGTTACTGTATTTGTGATTAAATCCTAAATGTGTAGCCTTACCCTAAAAAAATGTAGAATCAAACAGAAAATACTTGGTTAAAACAAGAGAAGAATTATCACCTATTAAACTAAGGTTAAAAACGATTTTATATTGTATTCTCAAGATAAAGTCTGTGACTCTTTTGCTCCTCTATTCCAGCCTATGAATATTTCCCTTTTGCCGGTGTGTCATAAACACGCTGGAGATGCTGACATGGGGTTGTAATTCAGACAAAAGACAAATATTCCACTCATAGTTTAACTCTGATGTGATAGAGCATCTTCCACCAGAAAAAGTGCTCATTCAGTTCATACTCCAAAGGGCCGACAGCAGCTAAATAATTCTTTAATGTACAAATTGGAAGACTTGAACAAGTTAAAGGATTATATATCAATTCACTGTAATTTAAAAATTTAGATGTTTATTTCAAAGCTCTGTTTAATGTTACTGCTCTGCTGTCAGTTAATGAATGACTTAAATCAACATGTACTTTTAGAGAGTCCATGTTTCCATTTGTTGGTTTATGGGTTCTGCAAAACTGTATGAAGTAATCACACAACCACTAATGAATTGCATTTGGTTAAAAAAAAATCATTTGTCCACAAATAATTAAATT